CAACCGTGGCTGGGCACCGCAGAGGGCAGAAAGTTCTAGAATGAAAGGAACTCTCCCCGGCCAGCCCCGCCTGCAGCCCGCGAGCGCCCGCACCTGAGCGCGCCCGGCTCTATCATTCCCTGCGGCGTCCGCGGTACCGAGCCCCGGGCAGAGGGCAGGGCATGTCAGAGACTGTTTTCCTTTCAGCTTCAAGACTAAACCTTGTTGAAGACCATCTGTTTGCACAGCTCTTATCATGCCACGCGGCTGCAGCTGAAAGTGAAGGTCCCAGTGTTCTGAGCTGGGGATGGGAGTTGGGGAGGGCGGTGGGGATGAGGGGTGACTTACTCCATCAGCGCGCAAGGCCCGCCTGCCGGGCCTGAGATCTGAAGCTTGTAGCCGCGGAAGGAGGACGCGTCCCTCTCGCCCACTGACATTTGCCCGCCTTGCCGAGTGTCCGGGCCTGGCAGCGCCTCCGAGCCCGGGGAACCCTTCGCCCATTGTGGGCGCCCTGGTCGGATCAGGAAACCCCGCTTTCTCTCTGCCTTAATTGCCGAATAGGCAATAAAGCGACAGGGGCTTGGATCTGGCTCAGGAAGACCTAGAAGGTAGTCCGGGAAATTGGTCTGAAAGTTCTAGAAAGAAGCACGCTGAACTGAGCACCCGGTGCCAGGACGCAGCGGGCCGCGAACGCCGAGCGTCCGCTCGCTCGGGCCTCGCCAGGCCCTTCGGGTTTACCCACTAGAGTAAGGGGCTCAGGTGGTTCGCGGGCGAGGCGGGAGGGGGCGCCCGCCTTCCCCTGGCGCCCCCTATGGGGACGCTCGAGTGTGTTCCGGGGGTCTCCCTAGTCCGCTGGGGCCCCTCCGGGCAGGGCCGGCGCAGGCTAGGCTCCCGGAGAAGCTCCGTCCAGTCCACCCCTGGCGCCGCCGCCTCGGAGCCCCTGCTCGGGACCCCCAGGCCTGAAACTCGGCCTCGGGTGACAGCGGCCTTGCCTCTGTGGCCGGACCTGCAGTTCGAGTCCCGACGCCGCTACGTTTCCTGAGGCCAAAAAAAAAAAAAAAGTCTCTCGAAGCCTTGGTTTCCGCGATGTGGATAATTGTGTCCCGACCTCATAAGACGGTTCCCAGGGCTCAGTCCTTGGCAGAACTCCTGGCGATCCCGAAACGCTCAAGAAATAAATGCTGGCCATCACTACTAATCATGGCAATACGTGTTTTTTTTTTTCCACGAGAGTGTAAGGTCCTAGGAGACAGGCACTCCCAACAGCTGGCAAGGTGGCCGGCATAGTGAGCGGTCAGCGGGGCTGGCTGGCTCGTGGGGAAGGCCGGGGCGGGAGACGTGAGGCGAGGGGCCGCCAAAGGTGCGGAAACGCCAGAGTCCGTGGGTGAAGACGGGGAGGGGAGGGGAGGGTGCTGGGGGCTGCCAGGGCAGGCGACCCGAAGGCCATCTACGCTCTGCACGGACCCTGGGCCCCACGCGCTGTCCCCGAAGAATTTTCCAGAGGGTTTTTTCCTTCCCGTCAGAGTGTCTGCTATGTCCTCTCCTCGAGTCTATGCAAGGGAGACGAAAAATGTGTGGGATTCAAGAACTCCGATCCCTGCTGTCTACAGACCGGAGGGGCTGGGAGGGGCTGGCCACACCATGAGTCCCCCGAGGCCTCACTACGGGCTGGGGGCGGGGGTGGAGGTGGAACCAGGTTGAGGACACTAGTGAAGCGCAAAGACTGAGCGAGGCTTTTGCCCCAGAAGATGCAAAGGCCAGTGGGGCAAGGATAAGAGCACGGCCAGGCTGGTCCTGGAAAGATGGAGATGAGAGGTTCCCATGAACCAAACCCTCTCCCCAGGTCTGTGACCTCTAGAACGAATTCCCAGAAGACCTGAAATTGCAGGACCCTAGAGGTAATACTTTGGGAACAAAAACACGAAAGAATACCTCTCGGACCAACGGCCCGGAAATCCGTGTCCCTGGGACCCTCGACGGCAGAGTGGGGACAGAGGGCAGTCTAGCAGCAGCGCGTGTGACCCCGAGCGAAGTAGGCGAATGACAGTGAGACCTTCCTGGCTGCGCACGAACGGCCCTCGGGCTCCCACCCTCTGCCGGCAGGGGGCATCCTCTCCCCCAGGGCACCCCTCAGAGCTGGCTTTCTGTGAAGTGGCGGAGGCCCAGTGGTCCCGCAGACACGATGCGCCGGGCTAGGGGACGCCCTGGCCTCCTGACCCAGGCTGGCGGTGGGGCAGGAACTGAAAGCTAGGCGCGGCAGACCTGTTCAAAGAGCCGCTCGCTGTCTTCCTGAGATCGGCAGCTGTTCAACCGAGGCTTACAGTAAATACCCTGCGGTTTACACTATGGCAACAGAGAAAGGAGGTGTACTTAACTCAAAGGAAGTCGTTTCTACCCTGGAGCCTCAGTGTTCCTGTGTACAATGGGAACGATGATTACGTCCTTGTCTGCAAGGGTTGTCACAAGGCTCCCAAGGAAGGAGACGGTGAGACTCAGTAACCAGATAAAGTGCCCTGGGGACACTCTGGTGGGCCTGGAATCCAAAGCAGAAAGGTCTCAGCGATGACGTGGAACATACAAGACCAGAACAGAGACACTGAGCCCCCTCCTTCCCCCATCCTTCTCTAGAAAACTGAAAGCAGAAAACTGGAAGGAGGGTGCCTTGAGGTGGAGGAGGAATTTTGGCCGCAAGAAGACATGTCTAATTACCCCAAACTCAGTCTGAGCCCCACTAAACTCCTCTCCAGTCATTATGGAGAGAGGCATGCCCCTACTCTGAACTGCTGAAGAAAGTGTCAGTTCTCTATTGTACTGCCTCCCTGACTTTAGACCAAAGGGAAGAAATCATTTGGATATTGTGATGCAGGGATCAGATAATTTAGGTAAACCCAGATTTGTGCCTGGATTATCAGAATTAACATCTCAGGTCTTTACTTGATTCTCCAAATGCAGTTTAAAATTCTGAGTCAGTCTCCCTCTCTCTCTTTGCTCATTGCCTCTGGTCTTTTCTCCCACACACACAAGTCCCTTGTTTTCCAGTTAAAGGGGAACTGGGGTCATATTTCCTTCCAGGAAGATGCCATTTTCCAGATCTCAGCTGACCTAGACTTCATGCCATTAATGCAGGTTCTCACGGGTAATAAAATCAACACACTTGCCACCATGAAAAAGTCTGGTGGGAACAAAGGAACAGAGAGAGTCAAGACTATGGAAATTGGATCTTTTGTGTTTCATTTTCAATAGGAAAACAAGTTTCTACCTTGGGTCAAAACAGCTACCACTGTGATGACAGAAAGATTCGTCATGTGGTATGAAGACACCAAAAAGCAATCTTCATTACCTATCAAGAGGTTAAGTTGTGACTGGAGCCTGCAAAGCAGCAAGTTGCGCCGCAGTGGTGAGCCTCATCTCCCAGGACTTTCTAAACCTGCTCACCCTTCTCCATCTAGGGGCCTTTTGTAACCAAAAGGACGGCTGGGAATTAAATCCAGGCAGATTTGAAGGCGGGTTACCTTCCTCACTATTCCGCGGAGAGTGAGCTCTGTGGATGCTGGAGTTTTAATTACACACTTGCTTTTTCTGAGGAAGAAAACCAAAGATATTTTTCAAAGTATCAACTTGTTTTCCATTAGGCAGTTGTTGTAACAAGTTCTTTCAGCGACCTGTTATGTCTTTAGGACGGGGTGCTTCAGATGGCACGCACTGGCACAATTTTGTGGCTTTTAATTACTATTTTGTTCTTTTGGGGGGTTTCAGAGGCTGGCGCCTCGGCGTCATTAGACTGTCTACTGGGTGCGCCGCAATCACTATCACCTCCACCAGGTGGCGCCACAAGGCAGGAACTGCGGAGTCCAGTGCAGGCGAGTGTCCCTCAACACCGGGCCATGGTTTCCAACCACGAGGAAACAGACACGGAAGAAGTCGCTACCAGATTTAAAAGAAAAATAAATTGCAGCGATAGGGTCAAATAGGATCCTGAGATGAAAATAACTTTAAAAAGTCCTAAGTACATGAGATAAAACTTTTGTGTTTCCGTAAGTTTACCAAGATTTGTAATATCAAGACAACACTCTCACCAAAGTATTATCCCATTTCTTTATGAAATTTAGAGTTACAATGAACTTGAAAGGCCATGTGATCAGTCTGGTCTAGCTCTCCAACCTAGAGAGGAAATCACCGGGATCATGTTTTGGTTGTCAATTAGCCATCAAATACACGTAATTACTCAGTCTCGCTGTGTCAGAAAAGTATAAAGGGAAAATGATTTCAAATATATCATTAGCAATAATATCTTTGAATTTATATAGCTTTTCTCTCAAGGAACAAAGAAAATAGTTTAAATATTACCGTATTAATTGTCTTAATATCCCTCTGGGTTGGTTAAGAAGCAGGTATTATGGTTAATTTAAATCAGTTTGTTATGTCAAGTGTCCAGGGGCTGACAACCGTAAATGTCAGACCCTTCGAGGAAAAGCGGAGCTGGAACTGGCCGAGGTCTCAGGATCGCTTTATTTCGATTAATATTTGAATGCTGACCTCCGACATGAAAGTAGGAGTCACTGGCATTGGTCGACACTTGTACACAGAATGGGAGGGAAGACCCCATTTCTTCTTCCTCAGAGGCGAAATGACCGTCTCCGCCTTCACGCCCTCTGTTCTCCTGCCGTCGGCCACCTTGACTCCCCACCGTCCCCCGCCCTCCAGCCTCTCCGCTCACTTTAGGCAGCAGCTAGTCTGCACCCACGACCGCAGGAGCCGCAGCGCCCGCCCTGTGACACCGCCCCCCAACCCCCCACTCCGGTCCGGAGTTCCAGGGCGCCAGAAGCCGTGCGGCCGGGAGCCTCGGATTGGCCGTTGCTAGGTGACGTCGCCTGAGCTCACGTGATGAGTGTTAAATGCCCACCCTGCAGGAGCCCGCCCCACAGACAATCGTAAAGCCGCTCAGGGCTGCTCACCTGCTCCCACCTCCTCCCGGAGCCCAGGCCAGGCCCCGCCACCCCTGCCCCCTCCACTGCCCGCCCCCCGCCCGAGCCAGCGCTAGGCGAGGAGCCGAGCAGCCCGAGAGGCGGAGAGAGGATGCGGCCGGCGGCAGCTGTCCCGAGCAGTGCACGGTGATCGCCTCCCCCGGAGGAGAAGTTGCCTAGACCGTAGCTACTTTTCTTGTTTTCCTCCCCCCCTCCCCCTCTGTAATTACATTGGCTGCTGGAGGGGACAGGGAGAGACGGAGGAGGCGCCTCGCTACCCCCCTCGCGCCCGCCACCCCTGCTCTTTGCCGTCCCGGGCCAGGATGACTGGAGTCTTTGACAGTCTGGTGGCTGATATGCACTCGACCCAGATCACGGCCTCCAGCACGTACCACCAGCACCAGCAGCCCCCGAGCGGCGGCGGCGCTGGCCCCGGCGGCAGCAACGGCAGCAGCCTCCACAAGCCTCAGGAGTCGCCCACTCTCCCGGTGTCCACAGCTACCGACAGCAGCTACTATACCAACCAGCAACACCCGGCGGGCGGCGGCGGCGGCGGCGGTTCACCCTACGCGCACATGGGTTCCTACCAGTACCACGCCAGCGGCCTCAACAGCGTCCCGTATTCAGCCAAGAGCGGCTACGATCTGGGCTACACCGCCGCCTACACTTCTTACGCGCCCTACGGGACCAGTTCGTCCCCGGCCAACAACGAACCTGGTATGTTTAAAGTTGGCATCACGGGTGCCAAGTCGGTCTAGTTACTGGGGGAAGAGGGCGGATAAAAATGTTTGGGGCGGGATCCATCTGGAGCCCTGGCCTTTCACATTGCTTGCTCCCTGCTCGCCTCGCGCCCTTTACCCTCCTAAATCTTCAATCGGCCGAGGGTCACCGGATACGTTCCTCAGGTGGTGGGACCTCAGGTAGTGGCACCAGGCGGCCACGTCAGCCGAGGTGCTTGCCTCACTGTAGCCTCATTTCCCTGCCATCTGCTGCTTCTCTCTCCAAGGTTTGCGCCGGTCTTTCTTCCCAGGAGGGGCCAGCTCCCGGGTTCGTTGGCGGCGTGGGTCAGCGCGTTGCAAAGTTGCGCCAGAGCGCAGAGCAGCGTCTCCAATAACTCGCCTCCCGGCTTAGGCAAAGCTCCACTTGAGTCTCCCTGCGGGCGGGCACTCGTGGGCTCCCACGGTTGCATATTTCTCACGATTCCATTTCATTGCAGAGAAGGAAGACCTCGAGCCTGAAATCCGGATAGTAAACGGGAAGCCAAAGAAAGTCCGGAAACCTCGAACCATCTACTCCAGTTTCCAGCTGGCGGCTCTTCAGCGGCGTTTCCAAAAGACTCAGTACCTGGCACTTCCCGAGCGAGCTGAGCTGGCGGCGTCCCTGGGCCTCACCCAGACTCAGGTGAAGGTTCACGGCCTGGGAGGCATGAGGAGGGCACTGGCCTGGGATGGCCGGGAAGCAGGCAGGTTGAGGACTATGGTTTTTTTAAGTAATTTTAAGGATTTCGAGGCCGCGCCTTGGACAGCCTAACCTTTTACGCCCGAAGCTGAAATCCCCCAGGTGATGTGATGGAAGGGAAGTGCCAATGTGGGCAGAAATCCCGTGCCAAGTTGTCCTTCTGCGCACTGCTGATTAAGCGGGTACAACATTCGGCCCTCCTGACCCCCTCCGCGGTCACTATCAGTGCACACACATCTGCTGTCTCGGTTTGTTATTGTTATTGTTTTGAGAATACCGCTCCTAGGAACTGACATAGCCTCCGAGGCCGCAGCACGTGATCCCGTTACCTGCCCAGGCTGACAACCCACCCCAGCCCCACCCCGCGCCCCTTAGCGGCGGTCTTCCTAAGTTTCCTCCCTTCCCCTATCCCAGGCCGAGTTTCCTCCACTAATGTCAGGTCCCTTTTCCACAAAGGTCAAAATCTGGTTCCAGAACCGCCGATCCAAGTTCAAGAAGATGTGGAAAAGCGGTGAGATCCCTTCGGAGCAGCACCCGGGGGCCAGCGCCTCGCCACCTTGTGCTTCGCCGCCCGCCTCGGCGCCGGCCTCCTGGGACTTCGGCGCGCCGCAGCGGATGGGGGGCGGCGGCGGCGGCCCGGGCAGCGGCGGCAGCGGGGCGGGCAGCTCCGGCTCCAGCCCGAGCAGCGCGGCCTCGGCGTTCCTGGGCAACTACCCGTGGTACCATCAGGCCTCCGGCTCCGCTTCGCACCTGCAGGCCGCCGCGCCGCTGCTGCACCCGACGCAAACCCCGCAACCTCACCACCACCATCATCACCACCACGGTGGCGGCGGGGGCGCCCCGGTGAGCGCCGGGACGATCTTCTAACCCCCGGAGACCGCGCCAGAGACTGAGTGCAGAGACCAGTTATCCTCACTGCTCGTCCCCAGAGCCAGAGGGTCCTTCCGTCCGGCCCGAGGATGCCACCCGCCGCTCGCGGAGGTGGCGGCCCGAGATGGCCTGCCCCCAGGCCCTGCTACCCTCGGGGACTGGAAGGCGTGTTCTCGCGCGCCGGGCTCCTCGGCGAGAAACCCGGCATCCGCGAGAGAAACCCTGCCACGGCGGCCTTGCCGACCCGAGCCCCGCCTCAGACTAGCTTCCCCTCCCCTCCCCGCCCGGCGAGGCAGCCCGGCGCCGTTTTCGCCGCGGGCCGCGAGCTGAGTCCCGGAGAGGGACGCCTCCCCCGCCCGAGAGGCTGCCCCGGCCCTCTGAGGCTCCTTTCTCCTCGCCGCCCCCAGGCTCAGCTCCTGTCCTCTGGGGTTATTGACCTCCCGGGTCCTGCCTGCCTGCCCAACCGCCCCCCCCCCCAGCCCCCTTGACCCCGACGGCCCGCCGCTTTTTTTCCTGCCCGGCTGTTGCCAGCACTTGGAGCCCGAGTCCCTCCCCCGACTTAGCTCTCCTCCCAGGAACGCTCCCCTCCCTCCCTTAGCTCTCTCCTCACCCTTCACCGTGGAGTTTTTTTATTTTTATTTTTTTAAAAGTTTAGGTGCCTTTGCGGATGACCTCATTTTGATGTTGGGGAGAAACGATTTTTTAATATGTGGACACTGCAAAAAAAAATGTGTTTAAATTATCTTTTTTAAAACCTATTCAGGATTATTAGCCTGGACTTGGACATAGCGTTTGTAAATAAATGTGTCTGTGCAGATTTTCCCACTGATTTATTCGTATAAACATACTCATCTTTTCATTTTTTTGTAAACCCCCACTTGTGAAAACTGCGGTTTAGCAGTGACCTCAGCACCCCTACGTTTTCTTTTCCCCTTGAAAGATTTTCTCAGTTTAAGCTACTGATTTGGATTTATCTTTTCCTAAAGTCTTTGTCCTTGAAATGAAAGGTATTTTGGGGTTATTTATTATGAAAACAACATGCTCTTAATGTTGATTTTACAATATGAAGAGATTATTTAAATAAATTATTGTTTTCATTGGATGTGTGCACTTTTTCCTTGGTGTCACAACCTAGAAGCTCGAGTTGCCGCCCGGGGGGAACTGGGTGGGTCAAGAGTGACAGTGGCATTTACATCCATCCGAGGCTGCGAGCTGCGGTGAGGTGCGGCGGGGCGAGGACAGGCGCACTCAGCGCAGGGCCGCCGCGAGGGTTCCCGCTCTGCCCGCATGCGAGTCCCGGCTCGAGGTTCGCCAGCTCTCGGCGCGGTGACTCACTCAGCACCGGGTGGCTCCAGCCTCCACCCGCCCGGCCCCTCCGGCGCCGGCGCCAGCGCCACAGCCCCGCGTCTGGGCGGTCTCAGCCGCCCCCGCGCCCGCGGTGCTGGCCGGGCGCTACACTCAGGCCGCCGCCGCGGGGAGCCTGCCGAAGCCGGGTCAGACCCCTACTTCGGACCCTCCCGTCCGTTTGCCCTGCAGCTCTTCTGGGGCTGACTGACTGGAGAACTCAGTGAGTCACCCAGGCTCTCAGGAGACTGGGAATGCGGGGCCACCACGGGCACACAGGGCTCCGCTAGCACACACGCAGCACACACAGTCACACACTGTGACTCTCACAAGCACACCCATACTATCACATATGAATCACGAATCACGCCGACACAAATTCATGCACGTTCCCACGGAGACCGATGCAAATTGCTGTGGAATCGGCACCATCCACAGATGCTCCACCTCACCATCTCGGACGGGTAAGGTCCAAACGTGATTCAGCTCTGCTTTCCACCTTGGGTCCCACACAGCTATTGTCTAGCTTTGGAAGTAACCCTAATTCCTGGCATTCCCTTCAATGGCCAGGGGTAGGTGTGTAATGCAGACCTAAAAGTCTGCAGAATTACAAGTTTGTTTTGTTTTTCCTTGAAAGCACTAAGGCCTACACTTGGAAAATTCTTGACTTCAATCACTGGGTGACTTTAGGCTACCCACTTAAACTTCCGTGCTTTTTGCAGATCTATAAGATGAAATAGATAATAGCTATGTCAGAGTTGTGAGCATTTAACCAGGCAATGATGTAACACAGTGTGTGGCACATGGTCAACGCTCAATAAAATTTTGCTTAGCAGTATAGTAGTATATGGGCTTCCCAGGTGGCGCCAGTGATAAAGAATCCACCTGCCAATGCAGGAGTTGTAAGAGAGGTGAGTTCAATCTCTGGGTAGGGAAGATCCCCTGGAGGAGGGCATGGCAACTCACTCCGGTATTCTTGCCTGGAGAATCCCATGGAGAGAGGAGCCTGGCAGGCTATAGTCCATAGGGTTGCAGAGAGTCAGACACGACTGAAACGACTTAGCAAAGCACAGCATAGTTTTACCCCAATGCCTCCAAACAGTGAGGTTTTACTTTTGCCTGCAATTATGAGGTCCAGAGTTTTACCCAGAGTCCTTTCCAACTTCACCTTGTGTGGGAGAACTGCATTCTAGGGCTTCGAGAGCTCTGGCCCCTTCCTATATGAGAACCTGAACCTTAGCCATCCCCTCTGAAGCGGTCAGTGTCTACTGGAGAGGAGGCTGGGGGCAAGTCAAACAGCCCTCCTCGCCAGATTCAGGCCTCCTCTCTGCGAGGCCATCCTTATTGTGTGTCCCCAACTAATCTCTGCCAAAAAACAAACGTGGGACAAGGGTGACCTTCTAGGCATCCCTGAGAAGAATCTTGACTTTTCTGACCAGATTGATTTGAGGCCTGCATCGAATCTGATTTACAACAGAGCATGGTCCACGGAGCTGGGGCTCTGGGGAAGGGAGGGAGGCTACTCAGTCAAGTGTCCGTTTGCATTCCTGCATTGTTTTTTTGGGCTGGGAAGGCCCGAGATGAAGCTCATTGACCCCACAATTCTGACTTTCCTAAGCAGTCGGCGCCTAGCAGACCCCGATTCCTGCTACCCTCTCTCCTCCCGCCCCCCACCGCCACATTCTGTGGCTTTCTTTGAGTGCCAGTAGCTGGTGCCAGCCTTCTTTCTGCGGTTGACTATGCCCTCCCCTCCTTTGCGCGCACTCCCCTCCCCCTCCTGAAACCAGCGAGGAGAGACGGGGCAGTAAATTGGCTGGTGTCGAGGATCTGCAGCAGACAAGATGATTAAGAGGCCTACGCCGGAGCGCCCGGGGCAGGGAATGTCAGCCCAAGTTGGAATCACGCAACAGGCCTTGGCATGAGCGAGCCTGGGAGCCGGGAGGGCGGGCGGCCCCAGCTCCGGGGTGGGCCGCGGCTCCGCAGACTCGCCGGAGTCGCCGAACCTGGCACCCGGCGGCGGCGGGGTCGGGCCGGGCCACGGCGTGCCTTTCCCCGGGAAGCCCTTGAAGCAGAGAGCAGAAGGGTGCAGGGGCCAGAGGAAGGGGGCGTTTCCGCAGACCAGGAGAAGGGCAAAGAGAAGGGAAAGCAAAGGATGCACTGGGGTCCCAGAAGTAAGGGGGCGGGGAGGAGGAGGGGTGAGTGGAGGGAGAAACAAAGAGGGTTGGGGGGAGGCGGGGGCCGGCTCCAGCCCCGCCGGGGGCGACGCGCTGGCGAGGCCTTCTCCCAGTCTTGCGGCCCGCCGGGAGACGCGGAGCCCTGTGATCAGCCCGCCGCCGCGCAGACAGGCTCCCCCCCGCCCCCCGCGCCCGACTTCGCTCCCCAAAGCGCGAATGAAAAATGGAAATGGGAAGTGGCGATCCCGGCTCCCTACACTGGGAAACCAGCCCCGCTCGAAACACACATAAATCTTCATTGTAATCCCCTTCCATTTGCTCTCGTGAAATATCAGGCCAGAGACAGGATATGACAAGCGCTGGGAAGCAGGGGGAGGGAAGCCGAAGAGTGAGGGGTGCCCGATGCCCTCCGCTACACACACACACCCGGCAGGGTCTCTCGGAACTCCGGCCGAGCAAGGGCACTGCGTTCCAACTCCCGCTGCAGGCACTCCGGGCGCTCCTGTGAGTCCCCTGCTCCTCGAATCCCCCGCCACCTCTGCCAACCCCCCCCCCCCAACCTGTGCCCTGCACGCGCCCCGCCGCGGGCCACCCCGCCCCCGGATGCTTCTCGGGTGTAGACACACACCCCACCCACTGCCCCAAATTCCCGCCGCTCCCAGGCTGGTATTGGGGGGTAGGGGGAGGAGAGAAAGGGAACGGATCCCAGGCCTAATCAGCGCGGCTGCAATGTGGGATCGTTTAGGAGGCTTCCCCTCCGCCTTCTTTCAGGATTACTTGTGAAAATTGTGAATATCCGTCCTGTGTAAGGATTTCCGAGACTTGTGGGGCGAGTTTGGGGGAAGTATCAGGTTTGGCGGGGGCGGAGAGAGTGCTGGAGGACCAGAGTTTTGTTTACAAACAATTCTTTCCTAGAAGGGGAGGAGGGAAGCAGGCGGAAAAGAGGGGGTAAAGAGAGGAATTAGGAAGTGGTCCGATGGTTTCCCCACTGTTAAAAGGTCCCGGGAAGAAGAATGATGTCCAGGAGCAGAAAGCCCCCTCACAGAGATGTCCTTACTGACGTCCTTCTGTAAAACCCAGAAGCAACTCAACCCTCCCCAAAACACCCCCCTTCCCCGTCCCCGTCCCACGCACTCGCTGAAAAGTTTCACACGCCGGGTCTTTTCCCGTCAGGGGACAGCGACCACCAGTGTCTTGAGCCTATTTGGGGTCAGAAACCTCTTCAAGCATGAAACCACAAAATCGCTCTTCCTCCTTAAATAGTGGTCCCTTTGCATTTGACTTTGGTGTCCCCGTAAGCCGGTGGGTAGGATGCGATCCTGCAGTCTTTTTTTTTTTTTCAATAAACTCTTCACTGCAGTCCCTGACTAGGGGTCGAACCCGGTCCCCTGCATTGGGAGCCGGGAGTCTTAGCCACTGGACCACCAAGGAAGCCCGATGCTGCGGTCTTGATTACTCCGGCCCCTGGCCGGGTCTGAC